AGAGACCTTGGGAGTTAAGGTTTACGATGTAAATCATAAAAGGGAGAGAGCATCCTTGAATATAGGTAGCTGGGAAGATAATGAGTGGCCCCCTCAACGTATTATTAATTATTATGGGCCTGCTACTTGGGCAGAAGATGGCACTTATCGATATAGAACTCCAATATATATGCTCAACCGCATTATTAGACTACAGGCGGTAGTTGAGATTATTACTAATGAGACAGCTCAAGCGCTTAATCTTCTAGCTAAGCAAAATACCAGGATACCGTTAGCCATATACCAGAATAGGTTAGCCCTTGATTACTTACTAGCAGTAGAAGGAGGTGTATGCGGAAAGTTTAATCTAAGTAACTGTTGTCTGCACATAGATGATGAAGGGCAGACAGTGGCTGAACCTACAAGCCACATGGTTAAATTTGAGCATGTACCTACTCAGGTCTGGAATGGGTATAACCTAAGTAGTTGGTTTGGAAGTTGGTATGAGCAGCTTGGAGGAATTAAGACATTAGTAGGAGGAGTAGAATTTATTATATTTTTTTGTGCCTCCTCCTGCCCTGTCTAATTCCACTAGTGGTAAGGTCCCTACGTAGTATTATAGAGAGTACTATAGAGAGAAAGACAGCTGCCCATGTAATGGCTGTCTGGAAGATATGATCCCCTAGCCCGAAGAGAATATATTCAGGATGAAGAATGTTGAAGGAGTTTTTAAGATGCTTACAAGGTCTACTCTGGTTCAATGGCTACTTGAGAGATGTAGGTAAAACTGTGATTGGTGATGCATCTGGAATAATGTTATATCAGAGGCATCAAAGGGGGGAATGTGATGGGATTCCAGCATGGTCAAAATTTAGTAGGCCAAAATCTCCATGTGGCATATGTGTATGTTGTGTCAGTTGGTTAGCTACATGTAGCTAGGATACTGTCATCAGTGTACTGAGCATGTGCAGGAATGCAGGAACTGAAATTGCATTTATTTCCTTTGTCTTGGATGAGCCATGTGGTTTGACTAGATGTACAAGTCTATATTCTGCTCATTGATTGGTTAAAGGTATATGTGGGTGTAGCTATTAATGGGAGGAGTTATAGTGCTATATAAGGAATGTACACTATGTGTTGGTCTCTCAGAATGTTGGAACAGGAGTTCATCTGAGACCCGATCGGTAATGTGAATAAAGGCCTGTTACTTCCTGAAGACCTGTGTCCAATATTTCTGTGTTTGGCTTCTGCATGCTTACACTGCAACAGTAGTGTGCTGTGTGTGTGTGAGGGTGCTGTTTGTGTGTTTGTGAGGGTGCTGTATGTGTGTTGGTGCTGTATGTGTGTGGGTGCTGTGTATGTGTGTGGGTGCTGTGTATGTGTGTGGGTACTGTATGCCTGTGGGTGCTGAATGTCTGTGGGTACTGTATGCCTGTGGGTGCTGAATGTCTGTGGGTGCTGTATGTCTGTGGGTGCTGAATGTGTGTGGGTGCTGAATGTGTGTGGGTGCTGTATGTCTGTGGGTGCTGTACAGGGAGTGCAGAATTATTAGGCAAATGAGTATTTTGACCACATCATCCTCTTTATGCATGTTGTCTTACTCCAAGCTGTATAGGCTCGAAAGCCTACTACCAATTAAGCATATTAGGTGATGTGCATCTCTGTAATGAGAAGGGTGTGGTCTAATGACATCAACACCCTATATCAGGTGTGCATAATTATTAGGCAACTTCCTTTCCTTTGGCAAAATGGGTCCAAAGAAGGACTTGACAGGCTCAGAAAAGTCAAAAATAGTGAGATATCTTGCAGAGGGATGCAGCACTCTTAAAATTGCAAAGCTTCTGAAGCGTGATCATCGAACAATCAAGCGTTTCATTCAAAATAGTCAACAGGGTCGCAAGAAGCGTGTGGAAAAAGCAAGGCGCAAAATAACTGCCCATGAACTGAGAAAAGTCAAGCGTGCAGCTGCCACGATGCCACTTGCCACCAGTGTGGCCATATTTCAGAGCTGCAACATCACTGGAGTGCCCAAAAGCACAAGGTGTGCAATACTCAGAGACATGGCCAAGGTAAGAAAAGCTGAAAGACTACCACCACTGAACAAGACACACAAGCTGAAACGTCAAGACTGGGCCAAGAAATATCTCAAGACTGATTTTTCTAAGGTTTTATGGACTGATGAAATGAGAGTGAGTCTTGATGGGCCAGATGGATGGGCCCGTGGCTGGATTGGTAAGGGCAGAGAGCTCCAGTCCGACTCAGACGCCAGCAAGGTGGAGGTGGAGTACTGGTTTGGGCTGGTATCATCAAAGATGAGCTTGTGGGGCCTTTTCGGGTTGAGGATGGAGTCAAGCTCAACTCCCAGTCCTACTGCCAGTTCCTGGAAGACACCTTCTTCAAGCAGTGGTACAGGAAGAAGTCTGCATCCTTCAAGAAAAACATGATTTTCATGCAGGACAATGCTCCATCACACGCGTCCAAGTACTCCACAGCTGGCAAGAAAGGGTATAAAAGAAGAAAATCTAATGACATGGCCTCCTTGTTCACCTGATCTGAACCCCATTGAGAACCTGTGGTCCATCATCAAAATGTGAGATTTACAAGGAGGGAAAACAGTACACCTCTCTGAACAGTGTCTGGGAGGCTGTGGTTGCTGCTGCACGCAATGTTGATGGTGAACAGATCAAAACACTGACAGAATCCATGGATGGCAGGCTTTTGAGTGTCCTTGCAAAGAAAGGTGGCTATATTGGTCACTGATTTGCTTTTGTTTTGTTTTTGAATGTCAGAAATGTATATTTGTGAATGTTGAGATGTTCTATTGGTTTCACTGGTAATAATAAATAATTGAAATGGGTATATATTTGTTTTTTGTTAAGTTGCCTAATAATTATGCACAGTAATAGTCACCTGCACACACAGATATCCCCCTAACAGAGCTATAACTAAAAACAAACTAAAAACTACTTCCAAAAATATTCAGCTTTGATATTAATGAGTTTTTGGGTTCATTGAGAACATGGTTGTTGTTCAATAATAAAATTAATCCTCAAAAATACAACTTGCCTAATAATTCTGCACTCCCTGTATGTCTGTGGGTGCTGTATGTGTGTGGGTGCTGTGCATGTGTGTGGGTGCTGTGTATGTCTGTGGGTGCTGAATGTCTGTGGGTGCTGAATGTGTGTGGGTGCTGAATGTGTGTGGGTGCTATGTATGTCTGTGCGTGCTGAATGTGTGTGGGTGCTATGTATGTCTGTGGGTGCTGAATGTGTGTGGGTGCTGTGTATGTCTGTGGGTGTTGTATGTATGTGTGCTGTATGTGGGTGCTGTATGTGTGTGTGGGTGGAGGTGGGGGGTACATTAATTGCTATCCCCCCTCCCTTCTTACCTTTTGTAGGGAGGGGGGATAGTGCTGCTGCTTTCCCTGGTGGTCCAGTGGAGAGTGAACTCTAGCCCCCTGTGGGGCTAGAGTTCACTCTCGCGAGATTTGAGCGTTGCCGTGGCAACGCTCATATCTCGCGAGAGGAACCCGGCGCAGCTGCCGGCAATAGCTCCGCCGGTCCTCTCCTGCCTCTCTCCCTGCATGTGGGTTAGTGGGGAGGGAGGCTGAGAGCAGAGCCGGCGCTCGGATAGCGCCGGCTCTGCATGAGCCGACAGGGGAGATCCTGAGATCTCCCCTGCCGGTCTCAATATGCATAGGCGTGCCGCGGGATTAGGGTGTGCCCAGGCACACCCGGCACACGCCTATGGATCTCGTATATATTCCTCAGAGACTACTAAAAAGTGACAATTGATCTCCATAAGTGCTACATTCTTCCTTTTTTTTTCAAATATTATGTATATGTCCTACAAGAGTACATTATCTGAATTCTCATGCCCCCAGGAACCCTGAATACCCCTGGACAGGTCATCAAAGCTACCCCCCCTCCCCCCACTTAAGAGACCTCTGATTTCTCTTATACAGAAGCCGGGGCTCACTTTTTGCTGCAGGTATGTTGGTTCACGTTATTTTCAACACAGCCGTTTAGTTATTCCACCCCCCCCCCGTCTACTCATGGAGAGGCCAACGTCCCATCACTGGTGTAGGTTACCACGCCCCTCGCGCCAACTCATAGATAGAGCCTCTCTAGCCACTTGGCATTAGCATGCCTCACCTGCCACAAAACCTAGAATAATATTTCGCCATCTGGCACTAGCTAGCCACCTGTTAATTCCCAACCCTGGTTACCAACATGTCTATTATATATATATATATATATATTTTCCCTACTCCCAGACGATGGTGAGGATATGTCAATCCCTAGCACCCCTGCTAGGTCACTTACCCCGACTCGCAAGGGCGACTCGGGAAGTCCCTCGTCCATCAGATTATGGACTATCCCCCGCATCACTGCAGAATTACGTAAACGCAGTATCCCCTACCCGGCTACTGCAAGGAAAGCAGAACTGTTCAAATTGCTAAGAACCGATACCCTTAATACAGACGCAGGGGAAGGCACAAGCAACTCTCAAGATCCGACTCTCCATGCTATGTTTGCCTCCCTAATCTCTTCTATGGGGAAGGTCAACGACAGCCTGGAGAGGCTGGAAGCCCGTAGCTTCCCCGTACAGCCTCCTGGCCCTCTCATCGAAGTAATCCCGGCCATACCCACAGCAATAGCGGGTAATTCCATATTGTAACGGATCACCTGGCACCCCGACTGGGTACCTCCGTTGAAGGATGCTCCTAGCGCTTCCTGAGGACTCCACGCACTGCAGCAGACACCAAAACTACCGAACTGTAGGAGCATATGAATGCTCTCAAGCATATGAATGTTGAATACAGCCGAATTGGAAAAACCATGCGAATAGGTTTAGACTCCTAGCAGTCAAACTAGAACAGCATACCATGAATCCTCCCCCAATAATGAGACGACACTTCACTTTGAGGGTTAAGCAGGAACTGTCTGGACTGGCACATACAGCCTCTTTTATTCCCAATCCACAAATTTAGTACTGCCCACAGGGTTTTACATAACAACCAATAACACACGTACATTACAAAACGACACTCCCACACAAAATCCTCCCCTCTGGCTGTGATATGATTACTGAACACAATGGTTAATCTAATTATCACAGCCAGAGAAATACAGTTTTTCCACATTATTTATAACTTGAAAAGTATGAATCACATTCACATAAATTTACATTTACATTTTCAGAATCAGCATACTCCAAATACAAACATATGTCAAAATCATACAAATTGGTCCAGTGGTTCAAAAGTTAAGGAAAAGTCCTATTTGACCAAATGCAGCATGGCTTTTCTGCCCAAAACCAGTTCCACAAAGTCTTCTATCCTGGAGATAATTGGGGAAGTAATCCAATTATCTCCAGGACAGAGGCAAAACTCCATTAGCCACATGGCAGCAAAAGACAATAAAACACATGAAAACATATAACTGTGCAGCCATTGCACAAAACGGGTACATTCAACATATCCCCAGAGAGCTCAGATCTGAGCGCACATTATTACTGAATGGTGCTCAGAGCACACACATACAGTTCAATTGCCATGGAGCCAAAGTCTTTCCCATAGTCTTTCATTATATAAATGGGCTCCATGGCATAGCTATCTGGGTAACACTGCTCACATAGGGAAAATACCGAAAGACCCAGCTTTTGGGTCTTTGCAGGGAAAATCCATCCTTTCAACATGGGGCCATAGTCACAGGGCAGGAGGCCGGCAATCAGTCTTCTCCAATGCCCAGTGGCGAGGCTGGTTCCGCCACACATATCAACCAAGGCAGCCGCCCACGTTATTAATCCTGCCCACATGGTTCCGGCCAATCTTAAAAAGGACATCCTGGAAGGCCAGGGTGTTAACTTAGTCTCATTGCTCATTGCCTCCCAGGATATCGTGGAAAACCGGTCTTACGATGTGGCGAAACCAACCTCGCCACTGTGAACTGGAGAAGCCTGGTTGCTCGCCTGCTCCCTTTGGACTATTTCCCCTGCAGAAAGGCTTATTTGTGTGATCTGAGTGCCATTCATCTAATAATGTGCACTCAGATCCCAGCTATCTGGGGATATGTGAAATGTCTGTGTGTTATGTGTAAATGTGACTTTATGTATTTTAAAGTGTTTTGTGTCTTTTTGCAACCATGTGCTTAATGGAGTCTTGTGTCTGTCCTGGGAGATAATTGAATTACTTATCTCCAGGATAGAAGACTCTGAAACTGGTTTGGGCCAGAAAGCCATGCTTCATTTAGTCACAAAGGACTTTTTACTAACTTTTGAACCCCTTGTCTGATTTGTGCCATTTTTGAATATGTTGTTCCCCTGAATGGATTGATTGTGAATATGTAATTTTATGTGAATGTGATGTATGGTTTTGGAGTTATGAAAGTTGGGTAGAAAGTATGTTTTAACTGTATGTGTAATTGAGTTTCCTCTCAGGATAAGGGGAGGGAATATGTGGGATGTAACTGATATGTGATTGGTTGTTTTGTAACGCCCTGTGGGCTGTACTATGTTTGTGGATTGGGAATAAAAGAGACTGTATGTGACAGTACAGAGAGTTCCTGTTTTAACCCTCAAAGTGAAGTGTCGTCTCATTATTGGGGGAAGGATTTATTGTATGCTGTTCCAGTTTGACTGCTAGGAGAGTAAACCTATTCGTATGGTTCCTATTCAACTGTCTACAGCATTCATATGCTTGAGAGAAGATATACGCTTCTCTGGTTCAGTGATTTTGGTGTCTGCTGCAGTGCTTGGAGTCCTCAGGAAGTGCTAGGAGCATCCTTTAACGGAGGTACCCAGTCGGGGTGCCAGGCGATCCGTTACATACGACTACGGGGACATCTCTGTGGTTTTAAAAGCCAGAGACCCCAGACTCAGTAAGAAACTGGCCATTCCTGATTTTGTTTTGGCCTTCGGTATCTTTAGAGATATTCTATGCATGGTTCATCCCCATAGGAGGGAGGAACTGGATCTATATATGCATAAGCTGGAGGACCTTGGTATTAAGTATGGTGGCTATACTTTTTTACGACTATCACAAGTCCTTTTCATCAAAAGTGGCTGCCACATTGTCCCAGTACGGCATCCAGATGGATTGGAGCCAACTGGACAATGAACTGTTCCTCAGACATTTCGCGGGGCTTAGGACACCAGCTTGTGCCATATGTACGTCACCCGCTCACGCAGCTAATTTTTGCCCTCTCTGTCCGGACAGCACTCCCGGCTCATCCTTACAGCATCCCCCAAGGGCTGAGAAACAGACCAGAGACAAACTGTGGCGTCCAGTAGTGTACCTAGGCAGATTTGTAATAATTTCAACGAGGACCCCTGCGGTTACAGCGCCTGTCGCTTATTACACGTATGCTCGCATTGTTTCAGGGCACATGCGAAATCCATGTGCCCTAATAAAATGTACCAGAAACCTTATTTGTCTCCGGTGAACGTTCCTGTACTTGCATGTATGCTGTCCACTCACCTCTCCAAACACCTCGTTGAATTTTTATGTACAGGTCTTGTGGCAAACCATGCCACTAGGAGACTGACAAGAAACTGTTCTATGCGAATGAACTTGGATTATAATGGCCGTATGTTTGCTAAGGCAGGAATTATCAGAGACTCGGTTCACAAACTATCTACACTGCAGTTTATGCGAACACCAGTAAACTACCGAATGAGGGACCACCCCGGTATGGTTGTGTGTCCCTTATTACCGAAGGCAACAATGTTGCAAAGGGTGCTAATTGAGAGTTCGTGTGCGGCCGCCATTTCGCCTACCGAACACCTTACGCACGAACAGCGGTACTTGGTTGTCGAACGCCTGGAACTCAAATCGGGCATTCGACTAACCAAGTACTGCTAAGACCTCCAGCACGCCTAAAAGTAACGAATGAACCACCCGAACCGCCCAGCATTCGGTATGTGAAATCCCACGAACTAGGGGATTCATCCGAATGACAAGTTAAGCCTGGATGCCATAGACTTTCGGGACTTTTTATTCACGAAAAGAGACTGACCGCAGGGCCAGAATTCATGGAACTATTTTCGGCTACTGTGCCCGTGCGGTCGGTCAAATCTTTCTCCTGCAATAACTCCCGAACCCCTGGTCCGATCTGGGTGAATTTTGAGTATGTTGCTCACCCAGATCAGGGCTACCAGGGGACCCCTCATTCAAAGGTGTACCCCCTGTATTTAGGGTACATCCACGAATTGGGGAAAACTGTGTACCTATTAATAAGTTTAACAGTTAATCGAAGGGGAGGTAACCACTATGTGATTGGATACTGTAATAATTATGGAAGTTACTTCCCTTGCATGGGAAAAATGCATAAAAGCAGAATTGTGAATAAAGACCTCAGTTGACTCCCAGACTATGTGTCGTCTAGTCCTTGGTGAAGGGCATTATGCTGTGTTCCTGTATTCTTGTATGCTGAAACGTTGTTCCCAGCAGAGAGCTCTTGGATTAACCCCTGCTACTCCGCTACTGGTCTCACCCAGGGTTTTCACACAGGGCTCATTTACATGCCAACAGGGGTATTAGAGTGTCACAACTTACAGTCTGCCACTAATCACCCTACTGCAGTCACCACATTGTTACAACTTGAAGTGGATCAGGGATTTGTCATTGGGCCTTTTGGTAACCCACCCTTTTCCAGCTGGAGAACTAACCCTATCGGGCTGGTTTCCAGCAAAAATTCTGAGAAACTAAGACTCATCATTGACTTATCTGCACCCCACTCCTCAGCCATCCCCAGCCTAAACTCATTAATTCCTTCTGAGGAATTTTCCCTACAATACTCCACTATTGATAACGCTATTGCAGCTATCAGATCGGCAGGGTTGGGGGCTTTGCTTAGCAAGACGGATATTGTGAATGCTTTTAAATTATTACCTATACACCCCTCTTTGTGGCACCTGCATGGCGTTAAGTGGCAAGACGCCTACTACTTTTTTACAAAGCTCACCTTTGGGGCCAAGAGTAGTCCGAGGATATTTGACACGTTCGCAGAAGCTTTGTGTTGGCTCCTCCTCAATACCTGCAGGTGTCCAAATGTGATACATTACTTAGATGATTTTCTTTTCATCTAATCTAATTCCAACCCCCCACGTAGTCTAGACAAAGCAGTCAAACTATTCACCTCCCTTGGTGTCCCCGTGTCACCCACTAAAACCGAAGGACCAGACACAATTATAAACTTTCTTGGTATTCTGCTGGATTCATCAACAATGATGGCCAGCCTCCCTAGAGAAAAGATCGTTCACATCCTACACGATATTGGCCACTATATGCCCACTTTATTTACCGGCCTACAGCATACATCGGTTTCGGCACACCTCAACCGACTATTTCCTTTTACTTTATTCCTCTTCACCAGCGTATTTCATATCCGATGAGAATGCCCCGAATACAAATTGGAAGGCATGGCCTGAAGTTGTGGGAGGGGCTACTTAAGGGACTCCCCTCTTCCCTTACTTACCTTCGTTGGTCTGGACGAACAGGCCCACCCTCCACTCCCATTAGCTATACTTTCCTCTATGTAAGCCCACTTTATTTACCGGCCTACAGCATATATATATACACACACGCATGCGCGGAAACGTCCACAGACGCAACCACCGGTCTGCGCATGCGCAGAAGAAGCCATGACGCGGCCACCGGACCGTGCATGCGTGGGGACCGGGGATGACGCGCCCGCAGCCTGCGCAGGCGCAGAGCACCAGGAGGACGCCACCAAGATGGCGGCAAGCCGGAAAAAGCCCGGTAAAATTTAAAATCTTTAAAGGGAAAGGGGAAAAAGGAGAGAAAAGAAAAAAAAAAATACAAAATCCTTGGAACATACAGAGAGGTGGAAGGGGGAAAACCTGACAGCCATTAGTAATCTAATACATAAGAAATGCATTTAAACTTACTGTACCTGCCAGGTAGAGGTAAGAACAATCTTCTGAAGATGAGGTTCTTCTGCCACTTCCTACTACCGCTTGGTTACTGCAGGGAATGTTCCTTACTGGCAATATTTTTGCTTGCTACCCCTAGGGTCACTGCAAGTGGCTCCCGGTCACTATAGGAGCATCTCCAGGGGCACCTTTGCGCAGGGCCACGTACTGGAGACTTCCCAAGGAAGAGAGGCTGAACTCCCTTGAGGCCGAAGGTAAAAACCCTCAGGTAAGCCAAAGAGAAAAAAAAAAAGTATGTTCACAGTCTATAATGACTGGAGTCCTATAGGGATAGGACAGGAAAAAAAAGACTGAGGGACCATTGGTGGGAGGGGGTATTTATACCCCTGATTTTAATTCTGTTCCTGTCTAATTAGGGATAGGGAGGAGCTAACCCATTGTTGTGCTGCCATGGATATGGCCAGGAAATATAAATATAAATATATATACATATACACACACACACACATATACATATACATATATATATTTCACACATATTCATACACACACACACACACACACTGTGACCCATACAAACGCACACTGATCCATGCTGACATGCACATTCACTCATTAACAAACAATTACACACACTGATCCATACTGACACACAAGCTTACACAGATCCATACTGACAGGTACACAGTGATCCCTACTGGCACACACACAGAATTATCCTTGCTGGCACACAGACACAATGATCCATGCTGGCACAAGACACACACACACACACAGTTAACCATACTGACACACAGAATCAATGATCCATACTGACACACTCAAACACCGTGACACATACAAACACTGACACTCACATACTGGCCCATACAAGCACACACATATTACTCATGTTCTTTCCTTCCTTACCAGACGCTGTCTAGCTGCAGTAAGTACTGGGCTGGTGATGCCTGTTCGCAGCTGCTGAGATGTGACGTCATGATTAGCTCTGTGACTTCTGCGAGGAGTGCCTGGCTTCCACCACTCATTTGCACCTCCCACCTCTCTTAAAACAGTGTCACTGGCAGATCCAGAGCACAGTCTCGAAAAGGGCACTGTAATATTGGTTAATTGCAGTGTGAATTAAAAATAAATCAATAATGCATGTTATGGTTTGCTTTATTGCTGCTGGCCTGTATAATGTAATATGCATGGTATGGAGATTGTGTGTGGATAGTTAGTTTGTGTATGTATGAATATATGTGTGTGTGTGTAAGTGCAGAGGAATGTGAGTGCCAAAACATGGGTGCCAAGGCGTGTATACATAAGGTATCTGGCACCTATCACTTATTCAGCCATAAAAAACATACTCATAATTACGCTCTCAATCACACATTATACCTTTAAACATACACACCAAACATACACACCATTACATCCTCAAACATACAATTACACCTTAAGAATCAATAAAATGAGCATGAATACCTGGGTGCCACTGCCCACTTTGCTCTTTGAAAGCTCTGTGATCAGCTAAATAGTTGAATTTCCTGCTTCCAACAGAAGGGGAAAAAATCAAGAGCACAGTGATAAATGGTACACTGTGGGTCAAAGGCCAGCAGCTCGGGACTCCTCCCTCCTCCTTCCCCCCTCACTGCCTGCAGCTCTGGACTCCCTCCTGACAGCCTTTCACACAGACAGGAAGCAAACCTTTAAGTCCCGCTTGGGCTGCCCGGCTGTGCCTGAATAACAGGTCGCATGCTTCCGGTGTAAAGGCTGTCACACGGAGCAGGATGACCAGGGTGGTCCTCCTGGCTGCTGTGAGTGCTGTTCCAGGTCCCCAGCATGAGCGTGTTTTTGCAGCTCTGTGGAGCCCCAGCTGCCAAGAACAGTCCCTGTATTATAGTTTATAGCGACATAAGTATGTATACATAGAAAGAGAAACTTATGTTGCCGTTAATCTAGTTTTTTTTATTTATTGAGAGACATTTAACCCCTTGTAACAGAATAGAAATAATTCCTTGTTAGTGACAGTTGTCTGGTCCATGTTTTGTCTGTTGCATCCAGCTCTTTAAAGCTCCTTTGAAACCCGGATAGTGGCAGCAAGCCACTGATAATGGACATGTCTCTTAAGTCTCAATATGTTCCTACAAACGGAATGTCAAGACCAACCGAATATAAACATGTCACTGTCAGATGTGTCCCTTAAATGAATTTGAATGTTTATTCCTTCTAGAATTGAACATGATCTAAACAAATAAAATTAACTGCGAGGAGCTGCCGATGCAGAGGGCAACTTGACATAACTTTTCAAGGCAGGGAGAGGTTTGATCTTGCGACCTGCCCAACCACCCTTCCTCTTCCAAAGACCACTTGATGGTCGAATTCCTAACCACCTGTTCCGTCCTGCTTTCCCGATTATACGCTTGTTGTGGTCAATATTGGAAACACGACCCACCGTTGCAATGCAGGTTTCCAGTACCTAGAAAAGGGACAGAGGACATGTAAGTCTAAGACACTGACCACCTAATATAATTAATGATGGTGACAGCTTAGAGCGGGTGCAATGACATGGTAACAATAGATATAATATATACAGGTTAAAGAGGCGAAATGGGGAAGACAGAGCAAGTACGGCAGGGAGAAGACAGTAGAGGGAGAAAGGAGGCATACACGTTTTCACACCTGAATTTGTCTTTTGGATGGAAGTTGTACAATCGCAGTCCCATTCACTTTCCTGAGTAAAACGCCACATGTGCCTGTATACGATGGACACAAAGGATTATTCCAGAAATCTACACATAATGCCAAGACTCAACGAGAAACCATTATTACCCAATAATCCTCTGATTGTTAAACAATTAAACAGATTGATAATTTCACCGATGTAACGATTTATTTTGGGTGCGATTTTTATCTGTGGTAATAATCAGCGATAACAATCAGTAAAGCTCAGAAAGTCTGGCAAGATGTACATTATAACTAGAGAGACAGGAAATATCTCAATCTGTAACGGGAAGGTATTCTTTAGACAGCATTATATCGGTGACAGAGACACTGCAATCTAAGAGTATTTAAACTGTTTCATCCCAAACACAATGCATTTAAAATGAAAATATAAAATGCAGTTTCTGCTTTAATTTGGTTGAAATTTTATTCAGAATTACATTAATAAGGAACTACTTCTCTTAATTGCTAAACATGCTGAAAGAAGACTTATGTTTATATAAGACTGTTAGGAATCCAATATACTGACCAGCAGCTCGGATAACCTGAGACCCTTTTCCAGGAAACAACTCCAGGTTATTGATGAGGGTCCCCACAGGAAGTGCCCCCAAGGCATGTGCATCTCCTTCCTTAGCAGACACTGGAGACACAAAATTACACATGTTAAAAACAGGTTCCCTTTCCAGAGCTGCCTGTAGACAGTGACCCTCATACCTGCCATGCGTCCAATGTGCCCCGATGTGGTGATTAGATCGCCTTCCTGCATGTTCTCAGTAGCAATGATCCAGCGTTTCCGCTTTCCTCCCACAACTAGCGCAATGTCTGCAGACCTGAAGCACAAGAGGTGTCTATACAAGATCTGACAAGCAGCATACACACAGATATAATAATACAGACACAGGGAGCAGCGTACAGACATATATAATAATACAGACACAGGGAGCAGCGTACAGACAGATATAATAATACAGACACAGGGAGCAGCGTACACACAGATAATAATACAGACACAGGGAGCAGCGTACAGACAGATATAATAATACAGACACAGGGAGCAGCGTACACACAGATATAATAATACAGACACAGGGAGCAGCGTACACACAGATATAATAATACAGACACAGGGAGCAGCGTACAGACAGATATAATAATACAGACATAGGGAGCAGCGTACACACAGATATAATAACAGACACAGGGAGCAGCGTACACACAGATATATACAGACACAGGGAGCAGCGTACACACAGATAATAATACAGACACAGGGAACCAGCGTACACACAGATATAAATAATACAGACACAGAGAGCAGCGTACAGACAGATATAATAATACAGACACAGGGAGCAGCGTACAGACAGATATAATAATACAGACACAGGGAGCAGAGTACACAGATATAATAATACAGACAGATATAAATAATACAGACACAGAGAGCAGCGTACAGACAGATAATAATACAGACACAGGGAGCAGCGTACACACAGATGATAATACAGACACAGGGAGCAGCGTACAGACAGATAATAATACAGACATAGGGAGCAGCGTACACACAGATATAATAATACAGACACAGGAAGCAGCGTACACACAGATAATAATACAGACACAGGGAGCAGCGTACAGACAGATAATAATACAGACACAGGGAGCAGCGTACACACAGATATAATAATACAGACACAGGGAGCAGCGTACACACAGATATAATAATACAGACACAGGGAGCAGCATACACACAGATATAATAATACAGACACAGAGAGCAGCGTATAGACAGATATAATAATACAGACACAGGGAGCAGCGTACAGACAGATATAATAATACAGACACAGGGAGCAGCGTACACAGATATAATAATACAGACACAGGGAGCAGCGTACAGACAGATATAATAATACAGACATAGGGAGCAGCGTACACACAGATATAATAATACAGACACAGGAAGCAGCGTACACACAGATAATAATACAGACACAGGAGCAAGCGTACACACGAATATAATAATACAGACACAGGGGCAGCGTACAGACGAATATAATAGCCACGGGCTTACAGGGGCAGAGTACACAGATATAATAATACAGACACAGGGAGCGGCGTACAGACAGATAAAAATACAGACACAGGGGCAGCGTACGAACGAATATAATAAAAATACGAACACAGGGAGCAGAGTACACGGAGTATAATAAGCCACAGACACAGGAAGCAGCGTACAGACAGATAATAATACAGACACAGGGAGCAGCATACACACAGATAATAATACAGACACAGGGAGCAGCGTACACACAGATAATAATACAGACATAGGGAGCAGCGTACACACAGATATAATAATACAGACACAGGGAACCAGCGTACACACAGATATAATAATACAGAGACAGAGAGCAGCGTACAGACAGATATAATAATACAGACACAGGGAGCAGCGTACAGACAGATATAATAATACAGACACAGGGAGCAGCGTACACACAGATATAAATAATACAGACACAGGGAGCAGAGTACAGACAGATAATAATACAGACACAGGGAGCAGCGTACACACAGATATAATAATACAGACACAGGGAGCAGAGTACACAGATATAATAATACAGACACAGGGAGCAGCGTACAGACAGATAATAATACAGACACAGAGAGCAGCGTACAGACAGATATAATAATACAGACACAGGAACCAAGCGTACACACAGATATAAATAATACAGACACAGGGGAGCAGCGTACACACACAGATAATATACAGACACGAGGAACGTGCGGGCAGACACAGGGAGCAGCGTACACACAGATAATAATACAGACACAGGGAGCAGCGTACACACAGATAATAATACAGACACAGAGAACCAGCGTACACACAGATATAATAATACAGACACAGGGAGCAGCGTACGCACAGATATAATAATACAGACACAGGGAGCAGAGTACACAGATATAATAATACAGACACAGGGAGCAGCGTACAGACAGATAATAATACAGACACAGAGAGCAGCGTACAGACAGATATAATAATACAGACACAGGGAACCAGCGTACACACAGATATAAATAATACAGACACAGGGAGCAGCGTACACACAGATAATAATACAGACACAGGGAGCAGCGTACACACAGATAATAATACAGACACAGGGAGCAGCGTACACACAGATAATAATACAGACACAGAGAACCAGCGTACACACAGATATAAATAATACAGACACAGAGAGCAGCGTACAGACAGATATAATAATACAGACACAGGGAGCAGCGTACAGACAGATATAATAATACAGACACAGGGAGCAGAGTACACAGATATAATAATACAGACACAGGGAGCAGCGTACAGACAGATATAATAATACAGACACAGGGAGCAGCGTACACACAGATATAAATAATACAGACACAGGGAGCAGCGTACAGACAGATATAATAATACAGACACAGGGAGCAGCGTACACACAGATAATAATACAGACACAGGGAGCAGCGTACACACACATAATAATACAGACACAGGGAGCAGCGTACACACAGATATAAATAATACAGACACAGGGAGCAGCGTACAGACAAATATAATAATACAGACATAGGGAGCAGCGTACAGACAGATATAAATAATACAGACAGGGACCAGCGTACACACAGATATAATAATACAGACACAGGGAACCAGCGTACACACAGATATAATAATACAGACACAGAGAGCAGCGTACACACAGATATAATAATACAAACACAGGGAGCAGCGTACAGACAGATATAATAATACAGACACAGGGAGCAGAGTACACAGATATAATAATACAGACACAGGGAGCAGCGTACAGACAGATAATAATACAGACACAGGGAGCAGCGTACACACAGATATAATAATACAGACACAGGGAGCAGAGTACACAGATATAATAATACAGACACAGGGAGCAGCGTACAGACGAGGATAAAATACAGACACAGGGAGCGAAAGCGTACAGACGAATATAATAATACAGACGCAGAGAGCAGCGTACAGGCAGATATAATAATACAGACACAGGGAGCGGCGTACACAGATAATAATACACAGACACAGAAGGCAAAAGCGTACACAGCGGGCGAATGCCGTAAGCTGGGAGCGCAGGAGCAGCGTACAGACAGATATAATAATACAGACACAGGGAGCAGCGTACACACAGATATAATAATACAGACACAGGGAGCAGCGTACACACAGATATAATAATACAGACACAGGGAGCAGCATACACACAGATATAATAATACAGACACAGAGAGCAGCGTATAGACAGATATAATAATACAGACACAGGGAGCAGCGTACAGACAGATATAATAATACAGACACAGGGAGCAGCGTACACAGATATAATAATACAGACACAGGGAGCAGCGTACAGACAGATATAATAATACAGACATAGGGAGCAGCGTACACACAGATATAATAATACAGACACAGGAAGCAGCGTACACACAGATAATAATACAGACACAGGGAGCAGCGTACACACAGATATAATAATACAGACATAGGGAGCAGCGTACACACAGATATAATAATACAGACACAGAGAGCAGCGTACACACAGATAATAATACAGACACAGGGAGCAGAGTACACACAGATAATAATACAGACACAGGGAGCAGCGTACACACAGATATAATAATACAGACATAGGGAGCAGCGTACACACAGATATAATAATACAGACACAGGGAGCAGCGTACACAGATATAATAATACAGACACAGGGAGCAGCGTACACACAGATATAATAATACAGACACAGGGAGCAGCGTACACAGATATAATAATACAGACACAGAGAGCAGCGTACAGACAGATATAATAATACAGACACAGGGAGCAGCGTACAGACAGATATAATAATACAGACACAGGGAGCAGCGTACACACAGATATAAATAATACAGACACAGGGAGCAGAGTACACACAGATATAATAATACAGACACAGGGAGCAGCGTACAGACAGATATAATAATACAGACACAGGGAGCAGCGTACACACAGATATAATAATACAGACACAGGGGCAGCGTACAGACGATATAATAATACAGACACAGGGAGCAGCGTACACAGATAATAATACAGACACAGGGAGCAGCGTACACACACATAATAATACAGACACAGGGAGCAGCGTACACACAGATATAAATAATACAGACACAGGGAGCAGCGTACAGACAAATATAATAATACAGACATAGGGAGCAGCGTACAGACAGATATAAATAATACAGACAGGGACCAGCGTACACACAGATATAATAATACAGACACAGGGAACCAGCGTACACACAGATATAATAATACAGACACAGAGAGCAGCGTACACACAGATATAATAATACAAACACAGGGAGCAGCGTACAGACAGATATAATAATACACACACTGAGAGCACTATAGTCCCCAGAACCAGTGCAGCTACATTAAGCTGTATACCGCACATTAAGCTGTATACCGCACATTAAGCTGTATACCGCACATTAAGCTGTATATTATACATTAAGCTGTATATTGTACATTAAGCTGTATATTGTACATTAAGCTGTATGCCGCACATTAAGCTGTATGCCGCACATTAAGCTGTATATTATACATTAAGCTGTATACCGTACATTAAGCTGTATATTGTACATTAAGCTTTATACCGTACATTAAGCTGTATATTGTACATTAAGCTGTATATTGTACACTAAGCTGTATACCGTACATTAAGCTGTATATTGTACATTAAACTGTATATTGTACATTAAACTGTATATTGTACATTAAGCTGTATACCGTACATTAAGCTGTATATTGTACATTAAGCTGTATACCGTACATTAAGCTGTATACCGTACATTAAGCTGTATATTATACATTAAGCTGTATATTATACATTAAGCTGTATACCGTACATTAAGCTGTATTGTGGTGGAATCTCGGTAAAAATAAATTTAGTAGGCCGAGATTACCACGTGGCATGTGTACGTGCATATGCTGACGTATCGATCAGTTGGTTGCACTAGGCAAGATACGATCAGTAGTGTACGGAGCATGTGCAAGAATACAGGATGTAGTATTCCCCTCCTCCATTGTGCTGGACAAGCCATGCGGTCAAGCAGGAAGTTAGTTCTTATTTGTAATGATTGGTCAAGAGAATGTGCGGGTGGAGCTTAATATGGGAGGAGTTATGTGCCTATATAGGGAGCCTGCACTATTGTTCAGGGCTCAGAACTTGCTGTATTTTTGGTGACGTTAGTCCCTCTGAGTCCCGATCGGTGATCCAATAAAGAATCTCTTCCTTCCTGAAGAAACCTGTGTCCATCCCTCTGTGCTTTGCTTCCGTCAGTTTCTCCGGTATCATTTGGTGCATTGGCCGGGAAGCTCATCGTTCAGCGGTAGCTGAGAGGCAGAGGCGTGAGACGGTCTATCTTTGCCCACGTTCTCTACGGCTGCACCCCTGAACTTCTGCGTGGACCTCCC